AAAAATTAGTTTAGAAAGGTTCCGGTAATAAGAAATAAAAATTAATTTAAAAAAAATCAAAAACCTCTTTAACCAACCAATCAGCAGCTTTATTCAATCTCTCTGCCTGTTGATTCCGTCCTTCATTTTCCAAAACTTTTGCAAAACGTTGCTGTAATAAAACAACAGAATTCAACAAATCTGGACATCCACCAGTATTTTTTAATGCCCAATCCAATGTTTTATTTAAAAAAGGCGTCCGTCGATCTTTAGGCAAAGATTTATCGGAGTCAAAAGTCTCTGAATCTTTGTCGTCACTATTAATTTCCTCTCCTTCCAATTTGCCTGGCAATTTGGTGAAAAGCTTAAAAATATTAAGGGGTATGTTTTATTAAATAAATTTTTTCAAAGAAGGCAGAAAATCTTCAAGGGTGACACCCTCGAAGTGTAAAAACAAAACAAGTTAAGGACAAGCCCAAAAAATGTAGAAATGTTTGGAACAATTTTTTGAAAAAAATATAAAAACCTTAACAAGTTTGTCAGATTTATCTTCCACAAGTTGACGTGCAGTACTCTTACAAGTGTCCACATAAAGTTCAGCAAGGTCAATAGCACTCGAAAATTCATTTTCTAAAATAATTTTTATATAAAATAAAAATTCAAAATAAAAACCTTTACAAAAAGTCAAACAACAATTATAAATTAATTCAAGTAATTCTTCAACATTTGCTTCAGAATTTGGGTCATTCACGTTAATCTGTTTTTGAAGCATTCGAGTTTGCAATGTTCGAATAATTTGATGAGCATCATAAAATCGTCGTTGAGAAAGAGCATTTTCTAGACGTGATTGAAGTTTGGTAATCTAATAAAAAATAAATTTAGAAAATATAAGAATCTAGTTAAAATAACAAGAAACCCCAAGTAAATGATGGAAGTCAAAAACTAAAATTCTCCCCATCGCTAAGCTCTAGGTGAACTATCCTTACAAAAAAAACTTTAAAATTATTTTTTGACTAGAGTTCGATTCACTAAGAAAAAACCATACTTGATTCTGAACAGAGTTATTCGAAAGCAAAGCCATTAAACACTTTAAAGGATTTCACTGTCAAAAAATTTTTCCAATATTTTTCTAAAAATGAAGATTCTTTCAAAATAATTAAAAATATTTTAAAAAACACTTGATTTAATAAAATTCAAAGTTTATCTTGAAATATTTATTGTTTTAAATAAAAAATATCGAAATGTTCAAAAAATCAAAATTCAACAACTTAATTTAAATGAGGGGAGATCTAAAAGTGAAACGAATTAAATATTGAGAAAAAAGAACGATTTTAATAATCTTATTGTTTCCAAAAAAATATGGAGCAAAGGAATATATCGAAAAGAAAATTTTCTTTTATTCAAAAAATGCTTTATCCTTGCCAAATGAAACAAATCTTGACATTTTTAAATGTCTCAACTATAAACAATTATATTCAATCAAACAAATAAATGAATTGTTTTTCTCAATATTTAATTATTTGAATGAATATAATTGTTTATAGTTGAGACATTTAAAAATGTCAAAATTCGTTTCACTGGCAAGGAATAAAGCATTTTTTGAAAAAAATTAGCCCTCTGTATCAATCAGTGCAAAATAAAGTGGCCATCCCAGAACCAATAACTCTATTTTGTTAGAAGGGCATCTGTTTTTCTCAATATTTAATTCTGAAAATTTATTTTTCAACAAAAGTTAAGTTTAAACATGAACATATCGTAAAAAATCAAAAAATCAACATAAATTAACTTCGCAAAAATTTCCTTCAATTCAAGCACGGAATGGCATCCCACCACGAGGAATTCCTCCACCACGTCCACGCCCTCCACGTGGAGGACCACCACGGAAAGCAGTTCCACGTCCACGTGGTGCTCCACCAGCACCCATTCCCTGACTGCCACGTTGAGCACGACCGATATTCTAAAAAGAATTTTTGAATTATTTATTTATACTAAAGGGATCCAAGAAGGGCCTCTTACAAGTAAAATATAAATACAGCGCAACATCAAAACAATTCTTTCTTCCATTAAACTTTAAATCAAAACCTTAAACATTGGAGCATTCTTAAGCATATCAGGCAAAATCATAAAACGAATTTGCGATCCACGAATAAAAACGTTTTCGAGTGTTTGAGTTCGCCCATCTCGAAGAGTAACAGTAACTTCGGCCATTTGGCAATTCATGTTATCTTCAGCCTCGACAAGTTTCCCGCGATAGACTTCTCCTAGAAATTAAGAAAATATTTTCATTCTTTAAATTTTTAAAAACCGATAGTCGTTTCCAACGTAATAACATGCCCTTCGGCTTCGTGTAAAACTTTAATTGGCACTCCGACAGCAGTCATTTTTCCAAAATTTGTTTTAGCACAAGGTGTGCAATTTAATAAAATAAGATACTGAAAAATAAATATAATATTTTTACATAAGGTGGAGAGCAAACAGTCCGGAAACCCAGGGACAAAACAAAAATTAAGGGGAAAATAGAATAAATATTCTAAATAAATCTATTAACCTCCACAATTTCTAGAAGCTAGCCCGAAAATATTTTTGGTAAAAGGAATCTCCAAATGTTCGCTCTTATTAAAAATTTAAAAAGTAATCGTGGAACTAAATAATCCATTAAAAAATAGCTAAAAATAATTTCAAAACATTTATTCTGTCTTGATTGCATATGAGAAAAAATCGAGGACAATATTACAAGATGAATTTTAAAAAAAAGTAATGTTATCGCAGTACTTAAATGAAGCAAACCATCTACGATTTTTTACAATTTAATATACAAAGGCAATATTCAAGTTTACTATGAAAAAATCTAGAGATGGAGAGAAAATCTTACCTTCCATTAATCAATACATTCTTTTAATAATTTTAAACTCAATTCTAGAAAAAAACAGGTAAACAAAAGTAAACTTGAATATTGCCAAAATCAAAATAATCGAGACATAAGTAATTACATAAGTGCTACATGTGACAAAAATGTTTTTGAAAGAATAATATGTTTAAAAAATATATTTTAACTTTATTTTGGTATTTTTAAATTTGGTTACAAAAACATTTTAAAGGGGCCAAAGTCGAATATGGTCGTTGAGAACGTAGAGTATTCATATATTTAGGAAATACGATTAAGAGTAATTAAAAGCTACATTAAGAAAAGCATAGCTGCTCACCTGCACCCTTTAAATTTCAAAAAATCATCTCAAAATAGTTATTTTTGCAATTTCACAAAATTCCATTTTTATTTAAATTTTTTCGAGACCTTGTCGGATTTATTTGTTATTGTTGTTGTAGTTGATGGCGTTGTTGAAAGTGAAGACAAATCAAATATACCACTTCCAGAAGTATGAGTAAATGCAGAAAGCAATGCAGAATCAACAGGTTCCATGCAAGATGGACAGGTAAATGAACGAAGAAGCCAATCTTTAATAAAAGTTAAAATAGACGTAAAATGGATCGTGACAGAATTACAGAAGTACAAGGAAAATATAAACAATCGTGGAATATATAATCATAGAATATATAATTGTGGAAAATCCCAAATAGTTAACTATTATAGCAATTCCTAACAAAGATCTCGCCAGCTTTTATATCTAAACACCAGGCAAGGCAAATCTATACCCAGGCTGATCTAAACCAATCCACAAATATTTAGGTTGATATTAAAATTTAAAACTAACTATCAATACACTGCAAATGGTAAGAATGCAAACAAGGCAAGAATCGAATAGGATCTCCAGGTTGGAAATCACCCATACAAATTGCACATTCCGAGTCGCCCTTTCCATCTTCAATAAACATATCGACCGGAATTTGCTCTAAAAGGCAGCGGACACGGGCCTAAAATCAAAATAATGTTTAAATTAAAACCCGAACGAAAAGAACCTTTCGTTTTTCATCTAAAGCTTTCATTTCCGCCGCATTTGCTTCATCGCCACCAGTTCCAAAGGCAGAATTCATGTAAAGCTGGTTGACATAAGAGCTCTATTAATTAAAAAGAAAAATATTTTAGATTATACAAAAAATAACCGTCTGCATGTTTCGATGTAAACGACTCCTTTCAGAACCACTTGAAGCCGATGATGAGGAAATACCCCCAGAAGAACCGCGTGAAGAATGTGATCGCCTTCCATTCCCTACAGTTTGTTGGAAAATAAAATTACTTTAAATTTCCTTTTAAATAAAAAAAACCTGAACCCGTATTTGTAGAAAGATTATCTAAACGAGTAAAATCATCACCAGCCACTCGTCGGCGTAAAAATTGTAAACAATTCCCCATTAAAGATTATTTGTATAAAGAGGTATAAAGGCAAGTGAAAAATTAGCTTTATAGAGAAGTTTAAAATAAACTTAAAAAATAGAATTAATATGTACAAGTCTTAAATTTAGAAAACAAGATACAAATCAAGTCCAACAAATCCTAGATAAAGCTTTCTTTTCAATCCTAACAATAAACATGACTGGTTTGAACATTTTTAAATTTTACATTTTGACATATTCTCCTCAAAAAACTTACAAAATACATCCCTAATTAATGTTCATTACCGGAAACTTAATCGGATTTTTCCAAGGTCAGGGTCGACTGATTTGACCTGAGAAAACTCGTTCGGATAAAGTCCGGCCCCAGCAACAGATCCAAACTGGATCCGAAACGAAAAATATTTTTTCGGAAATTGTTACTTTCTCTTATGTTAGACTAGACTGGCAAATATAAATGAAGTTAAAAAATAATTTTGTGGTTTAAACAAATTAAAAAGTATGAGAAAGTTAAGTATTTTAATCTTATTATTTTTATTCCTTTGATTTATAATTTTTAAAATCTTAAATGGAAAGCACTTTTGTTTACAGTCCCTCATAATAAAGTAATAAATTTTTGTTAAAAAAATTTTTTCTTATCTAAAAGCTGTTTTCCATTAAAAAACTTTAAAAGATTATAGTCAAAACAAAATTTAAATTAAAAACAGATCAAAAAATAATTTTTACAAAAATAATTAAAACGTTTTTCTTGCAATAATTCCTTTCCCAATTGAATCAAATTGTTGCTTTGTAACCCAAATTTTACGGAAAGTGTCCAATGAAGCTAGGATAGAACCGCCAATCCAAGTTGAATAAATACGCTCCTGTGGAGCTAAAATACGAATTTTTGCGTCTTTTGGGCCAAGTCTTCGCATCTAAAAAAAAAGAAAATAAATCTTTAGAAATAAGAGAAAATATGGTAATAGTGTCGTTTCCAGTCCCCATTTTTTCCTCCCAATTTTTTACCCTATGTTTGTACCGTACAAACATAGGGTAAAAAATTGGGAGGAAAAAATGGGGACTGGAAACGACACTATTACCGAAAATATTAATTTACTTCAGTAAGTAATCGATCCCCAAATCCTTGAAACATTGTAGATCCACCACTTAGAACAATATTTTCATACAATTTTTTGCGCAAATCAACGTCGCATTTCTGTAATTTTACAAAAAAAAATTAATTTAAAAATAATCTCACAAAAATAGCATTAGAAAGACAATGTGCCACTCCATCGCATTCCTCTCCAATCAATTCTGGTCGAAAAAGGATCTCTGGTGCCCTATAATGTGCTGCACCAATCTCTATTTTTGAGCCATCTGGGAGTGGATAAATGACCTAAAAAATATAAAAAAAAACAATTATACCTAATTAGAAGAAACCTTCGTTGTTTCACCAGCGACAGAATCTTCTTTAAGCGGAGTTGAATAAAGTTTACATTTTTGTTCTTTAATTTCCCTCACAATTTCAAATTCGCTGGTTTTGCTGAATATATGACCTTCTTTCCGCAATAATAATCTGAGATAGCGTGTCACATCACGGCCGGCAATATCAATACGTTGAATACTTAAAGAGAGTTTTTGGTAATAGTTAAACGGTCATAACTTTGTTAATTAAGTCAGATTCCAGGGAAGGGGGGCCATTTATAAATAATTAAAATATTAACCCATGTTCAATAGCAAATCCTTCAAATATTGGCACAACATGGGTAACTCCATCGCCAGAATCGAGAACTACGCCAGTTGTTCTGCCGGAAGAGTAAAGGCTGAGAACTGCCTAAAAATTCTAGTAAAATTTAAAAAAATTAAAAAGAAAACCTGAATTTGTATATAAAGAGCAGGAACATTAAAAGTCTCAAATAAGATTTCTGCAGCTTTTTCCCTGTTAGTTTGAGGATTTAATGGTGCTTCAGTTAACAAAATTGGATGTTCATTAGGTTCTGTCTGAAAAAAAGAAATAAACATTGTTCCTAACTTATTATAGAAGCTTGCTGGATTTTTAAGAATTAAGGGTCTAATCACTTAGGCAATCTAAGTATTAAAATGGAGTGTGTATCAAAAATACACCAAGAAGACCAAATTTCTAATTCAAAATAAAAGTCCAAAAAAATTAAAGATGACCCCTCAACATCAGTTCCAAAAAGTCAACAAAATTTAATATTTTTAAAAACTTATTTACCCTAAGCTGATCACTTGAATAAATATATTGCCAGATTTTTTCCATATCACTCCAATCTGTCACAATTCCATGCTCCATTGGGTATTTTAAAGCAAGAAGTCCTCTATATTCTTGAGCCTTTGGTCCTTTAAGTATTTTAATTATAAAAAATATTTTCAAAAAAAAAACCAATAAAACAGTCGCCTTCCAAAGCTCCAGCCATAACTCTTGTATGTTTTGGCCTCCCAACATAATTACCAAAAATACATTTTGGTGCATTCTCACCAGCAAAACCAGCTTTTAAAATGCCCGAACCATTGTCAATAACTACTGGTTGACTAGCAATAACTGTATTATAGTCCATAATTTATTTTTCGAATTTTTAGTCAAAATAACCTAAATTAAATAAAACACAAACAATGGAAAAACAAAAATATAAAGCTTAAAATTAGTCAAAACGAATTCTATTTTTGCGGAAAAGGACGATTCAGTACATGGCCATAACTTTCTTTATTTTCGACCAATCCGAATAATTCTCATACATATCATTCGAAAGGTCTCGAGATTCGGCATCTTTTTTATGATTAGCCCGATTTGATCTGATATCTCAAAAAAGTTAAGACGAAAAACTGATTTTTTCTGCCTGTGATAAATAAGAGGAAAAGCAGTGATTGTTGGTCACCGAGACAATTGCCGTGAGACATTTAAATATGAAAAGGTTTTCAATAATTCCTTATTTGGATTGGGCTCAAACCTTTTTCATCAAACAAATAAACTAAAAATCCTTTATTCTTAACAAATTATCAACAACAAATTATTTATTTTTAAACAACAAATGAATTTACGTAATCAAACAGAACAATTATCACATTAATTTTATCTACGTCTTATTTATCTATCGCTGCTATTTGAGGTATTAGGTACGCTGACTCCCATATATTGTTTAGGTCGTTGATTCTGAAATTGTTTAAAAAATTATTAAAATTTTCCTTTTTTCAAACCTCCCATTCCATTTGAATACCCCAGCTTAATCTACGTGCCCTCAGCATTTCAAAAAATGCGTGCTCAATTCCAACATAATCAGGCCTTTTATAGTAATCCAACGAGCGTAAATAAATTAAAATTGTTGAAAACGCGATTGGGCATCCCTTAAAAACAAACAAATTTTAAAAAGGGGAAATTCTTTTTAGTTTGTACTTACAAACATATAATGAGAATCCATTAATTGTTCTTTAAGTATCTTTGTTAGAATTCGAGTCTTGCCTTGCCATGGAAGGCGCGCTATAGCTAATTCCACCAACATATAGAGAATTGACCACAAATCGTCGTGTCTCCCGTGCTCATTTCTTTTATGGGCTAAAAATTTGAATTTTGAAAACAATTTTTTAATCTATCAGACTAACCGTTTAGGCTACAATAAGCTGGGGTTCCGCGAAATGGAACGTCTGGTCTGGGCCTCCGTAAACTCATTTCTCCTCGAGTTTTTATTGATCTTGCAAGTCCAAAGTCAAAGAGATATAGCCGTTTGTGGTTAACTTCATCAATTGCAAAATTGCTTGGCTTTATATCGCGGTGCACAAAATACGTGGAATGCATAAATGCAACAGCCTATAACCAAAAATAAATTTTCTTTCAAAAATGAATCCATTTATATTTACATACCCGGACTGCCTGTATTCCAATCTTCAGTATCGTGCCGATTGAGAATCGTCCGTTGAGTTGTTGCTTTTGTAATTCGTTCAATGATGGGCCAAGAAGTCCCATTATGAGGACACGAAATCCGCCTTGTTTTGCTGCAAATAGAACAATTTAATTTAGAAAAAAGGAACAAAAAAACATTACTTTGACAACTCCCATATTGTTGAAATTGGGCCGCGTATGGAGAAAACTGCAAGCGTTTGAGGATGTGTGCCTCGAGAGGGAGAAGCTGATCAGATCTGTCTATATTTGTACGCTCGACTTTCATTGCATAATCCTTGCCATCTTTTGAGACTACTCGGTAGACGACACCACACCCACCTAGAAGTAAAATGAGAAAACAATTAAAAAGGGTTATTTTTATTACCCGCTCCAAGTCGACTCGTGACCTTGTAGTTGCCAATTGCTTCTCCAACCACCAAATTAACAGCATTACCGTCTGAAGTGGCTTTCTCCACTGTAGGAACACGACCCCCCAAACTTTTAGCTGTTTGTTGTATTTCATTCCTTCTAGTCTCGTCAGCGTTCGCAGTTTCGAATTTGTGTTGTCCTTTGACGGGAGGTTGGTCGGGAGAAATAGCAATAGCTGTCTTCACACCCTTCTCCGTGATGTCCTTTGCCTGGTCACTCTTCTTTTTCTTTTTGCCGTATGGTGAAAGGACGTATGTCGTAACTGGAACGAGCAGCTGCAGATGGTACCATTTATTTGGTTTTTGCTCCTTTTGATCGAAAGACTTGGACTTGATGTACTTCTTGTTTGGAGTCGACTTCTTTTTTTCTTCACGAGTAGGTGATTTGTGGTCGCTTTCCCTCTTTCTGCCGCTTTTTTTCCTTCCCTCAGTTGTTCCCTTCTTCTTCCTGGCAGCTTCCTTCTTCGAGTCTGACTTCTTGCCCCTGAGACATTGTAGCAAAATCGACGTTGAGCAGGAAATGAAGATAAGCAGAGCGACAATGATTGTAGACTGCATTCGAATGATTTGGACGAAAAGGTTTTCCACTTCCTACCAGGTGCTTTTATAGTAAACCAACATACCGTATTTAACAAATACCTACTTCATTTGAGAATGTTCCCTAAATTTAAAAATCATTTTTACAATAACTGTCAATATACCTAATTAACGAACAATGATATCTTTACTTTCAATTAAATTTAACAACATTAATTTAGAGTTTAATTTAACCAATTTATTGTTTACTTAAGATGGCTGCAGCTGATTCTTGTGAAGTAATAATTTCACGTAGAAAAGATGAAGAACAACTAAAAATTATAAATCAACGTTTAGATAAACTTTTTAGACTTTGTTTCAGCGACCTAGAATATATCAAATATCAAAGATTTATATCTGCATTGAGTTACTTTATTTATTTTTCTTCTACGAATGTTTTGGGTATTTTTTTAATTTTTTATAAAAATTTCAGAAATTTCTAATTTTTAAGGTCTGCAATCTCTTGGCGAAGAATATGTTGGTTTATTACAAATAAATTCTTTCAGAAAAATACCTTCACTTGTTCAACGTTTAATTTTTGTTTTTATTGATACTTTTCTACTTCTTCCAAATATTTACCAAATTTTAAATATTTTCCCTTTTGGAATTAATTTGAAAACATTTTTGAGGTTTTTTTTAAAATTTTTTATTTAAAAAATTTTTTAAGGCTTAATTTTGTTAATATCTTAAATTCTTTTTCTGAACTGTTCAAATTTGAAGGTTATACTTTTGGTAAAAGAATTGCAGGAATTTCTTATTTAAGTATTCGTCCTCAGCAAAATAAGGTTTAAATTTTAATTGAAAAATTAGATGTGGTAATTTTGAACTTTGTATGACCCCTCTTAATTTTTCCCAAATCTATGGCAATTATACCCAGCTCTACGTGTTAAAACCTAAGGTCCGTTACTGTGCATGTTTGCCATAACTCTGGGTTAGTAGAGTTGTTTATTCCCATAAAAATTTTAGCGAATACATATAGCGAATTTTTCAAAATAGTAGAGCACATCCAGTGTTCGCATCAGTCCAATTGCAGATAATGTTTTAAATTGCTAATTATTTTCGGTGTTGATTATTCATGGTACCTCAGAACTTATTTCCATAGATTTGGCTGGGATAAAAAGGGGTCATACAAAGTTCAAAGTTACCTTACTTACAATTAGAGGTTTTTGGTGCTTATCCATTCCTTTTTTTTAATAACAAGACCGATATCTTTTCATGTTTAAGATTTCTAGCTTGAATATTATGTCCCAAAATTTAATTTTCTAAATGTCTACTTATATTCCTTGAAAAAGAGGAGATTCCCCCACTTTATATTCTATTATAAAACACTTTAAAAAGAATTTTTTCCAGTTTGCAAATATTTTTCGTCTAATTATTATAATTGCCACAATTTTTAAAACTATTACAATTTTGTTACATTTGTTTAAACAATTTAAAATGAGTTCATTGGAAAGTGAAACAAAAGAGGTTTTTATTTAATTTTATTTTTCTTAAAATAATTTTTAAAAGTTTCGTAAATGTAATATTTGTTATTCAAATAAACAACAATTATGCCTTCCATGTGGACATTTATTTTGTATTCAATGTATTCCTGATTTTATTGATGTAAATAATTTTACCACAAAATGTGCTTATTGCAGGAAATTATTTGAAGCAGATAGATTAATTCCTTTATTAATTTAATAATTTTTTTGAAAATAAATTTTTATAAAAAGGATATTTTTTGTGATTTTCATGTTAAAAGCATTGAACGATAATTATTTTTGTATATTTTCCCGTTTTTTTTAATCGAATTAAAGAATTTTGGAATTCTTCAAGTAAGTTGTTTGTTAAATGACGGAATTGAACTACGACAATTTTTATTCATTTAATAATTCTTTTCATCAAAATTATGAAGAAAATGGGATATTTACATCAAAAACACCCACCAATTTCGAAGATGGACTTTATATTTTTGATAATCAAAATTTTAATTATTCTCAACAATTTACTAGTGCTATTTCTCAACAAAAGAATTTCGAATTATCTAAAGTTTTTTTATTTTTTAAATTTAATTTTTAAAATTTATAGGAGTTTTCAATGTCCTTTTCTCCAAAAATAAATTTAGAAAATGGTGGATATTTATCTAATATACCAACCAAAAACGTTCAACCAACACCACAAAATTTAATTTGCAAAGAATGTGGAACTAGTTTTCAACAAACAGATGAGGAGGCTTATTACTCTCATTTTAACCATTGTGTTAAATCTGCTTTACAACAATACGAGAATCTGAACAGGTTTTTTCTAAAGAACTTAAATTAGTTTGGCGAGTTTTGTCTAAGCTGGATCTTATCACTTAAAAACCTTGACCATAGAAACCTCAGAAACTAAAATTCCTAGTCACTCTTAAGTTTTGTCTAAATCCAACTTGATTTTTCTTCCGACCGTGTTCCTTCTATGACTCAAGTCCATAATCTCCCCATTACCAAACCTTTATTTTTCTATTTAGTTTAAATACACAAGCATCAAAAGATAAAGAATTTCCTAAACCTGTTGTTAATTGTTCTTCACTTCCTGTTCGTGTTCAATGTAATTTATGTGGCAGAAAATTATTTCAACACAATTTGGCTGTACATAATCGTATTCATACTGGAGAAATGCCTTTCAATTGTGAATTTTGTTTTAGGCCGTTTAGGTTTTTTTTTAAATTTTATCATGTATAAATTGTGTAAGGAAGAGAAAGATCCAGCTGACTAGCATTTAAAACGCACACTAAGCGGGGGTTTAAGATTTATTAAAAGTGAAGGTGAAAGCAGTCCCGGTAGCCTGTACGTGGTGAGCGAATAACTGCCACTCCTTAATTTTGTATTTTTACAGATTATTCTATATTAAGTTGTTATCTTTATTTTTTGGAGTTAACAAGATTTTTTTATTAAAATTTATTCTTTTAAAGAACAAAATCAGCTTTAAATGTCCATTTTCGTTCACACACTGGTGAGCGTCCTTATAATTGCCCATTTTGTTGTTATGCCTGTATTACTAAACCAAATTTGAAAAGGCATATAACTAATAAACATGACAAAGCAACTGGAAGAACATTCAAATTGTGTGCTATAAGAAATTGGCGATGATAAAAAGTTTTTTTGAAAATTTTTGTTAAATTTTTGTTAATTAATTTTAATTATGTTAAATTTATTTAAATAAACTTTTTACAATTTTCGATATTTCCCGAAAAATATTTGTGTTTTTATTTAATATCTAATGCTTATTTAATTATTATTTTTAGGAGTTTTTTAATTAGAAAATTTATTTTAATGGAAGATCCTTCAAAACAACCAATTATTGGCCGTTCTTTTGAAGAGGCACGATCAAATATTGATATTTCTGGTATTAATCGTTATAATCCTACACAAGTTGCACAACTGGAATATGTTGTCCAGTTGATGATTTCTGGTATTTTTTATAAAGATTTTTGCTTTTTCGGTCATAAGTTTTTGTTATGGTGCTTATATGAACATTTTAACATTTACCCACTTGCTCACTTTTAGAAAGACATTTACCCACTTACTTTTTATTGCCATTCTTACCATAAATTGACAGATTAGTTTTTTATTTTTTTTAATTAATTTTTTAAATTTATCTTTTTCTATTTTTTAATTTTAGAAACCAAATATGACAAGGATATTCTTATGACTCTTTTGAAGCTTTACCAAGTTATTTAATTTATTTTTAATTTAAGAAATAATTTTTTCAAGTTAAATCCACATCTTTATAATGAAAAATATGTTTGTTTGGTTCTGCTCAAAACTATGACAAACTTTCCTCGAAATGATTTTGCGTTGGCAAAGTATTTGTTAGAGGCCGATAAAGTTAATTCTTTGGTTAGTTTTTTACATAGAAATTACTTTTTCTTTTTTTGGATTTAAAATTAATTTTTCTTTTTACTTTATTTTCATAGGAAGTCCGTCGCGTTATCTCGATTGGAGCTTTACTTGAATCTTGTAATTTTGTCAAATTCTGGCGTTTATTGAACGGACGTTCTAAACCTTTGGACTCTTCAGACGAATCATTTTCTCAATCTAATGATATTAAGCAAATTGTTGAGTCAATTAAAGGATTTAAAGAAGCTATTAGAAATTGTTGGTTTTTTTTGTATTTTTTGGTTTGTTTTTCATTGAGGGGATCGTTTGATTCTTTGGGTTTTGAGTCATTTTGTTTCTATTTGTTTATTCACCACATGGGAAAAAGCATAACAAGAATTATTTTTTGTATCAGTTGGCAGTGGTCCCTCAAATTTCTATTTAGTAACTCTGCCCTACTTTAAGGCGAAATAAAGTCCCAATCTAAAAAATCTTCCAAGAATCTTGAATTTTTTTAATTTCTACACTATTAAAGAAATTAAAAACCATTACACCTAATTATTTTTTTACAAATTTAGATGCTTGTCAAGTAATTAGTGTTACATATCAACGTATTTACAAACAAAATTTGGTTATGTTGTTGGGAGATATTGATGGTTTCTTATAAGAAAAATATTTTTTTAATTTTTTTATTGTTTTTCAGATAAAGAGCTTGCTTTTTACGTTTCTCATTTTCGTTGGAGAAAAGTTGAAGATGAGGATGTTTATTTTATTCAAAATCATGAGGATACTATTAAAAGTCGAAATATTGAAGAAAAACTTCAATTTGAACGTATTTTTTTTATTTTTAAATTAAATAAGCTAAACTTCTCTCGTTTTTTAGAATATATTGATGTGCTTCGACCGACTTGTTGATTAATTAGGGAAATAAAATAAATTGATATTAAAAGAAATTTTTTGAATTTTATTTTTTTTTAATTTAAAATTTGTTGTTATTTGTGGAAATAAATATTTAAAAAGAATTTTTTGCCTTTATTTAAATTAATTTTAATTTATTTAAATATTTATTAAATTTATTTAACTTTTAAAACATTTTTTTTAGAAATGTCTTCAACTTCTTTAAGTACAGCCGCCTCTTCGTCTTTTACTGAAGGCGATGA